ATAATACGGAAATTTGTCAACCAAACTTGATACGTACTGTATTTTATTCAGAAGTATTTGTCCCATCTTGCGTTGCTATTTAAATAAAAAAGTTATGTCACCTCACAGAAAACAGACGTGAACCAACGCTTGCGTTGTGTTTCCTCGTGTGAATGAGGTTACCGGAGGCCCAATTACCCCTTTCCCCTGTAAACCTAATCCCCGAATCCCCCACAATCCTCATACTCGTAATCCCCAAAAGGCTGGTAACGCACTTGTTTGATTACCATAAGGTGATCCGTCTGCCCGTTTACCGGCTTATCCAAAAATAAAAAGCTTTTAATCTAAAAAAAATTGTTGTTACCGACATCATCTCTTTTACTTCTTCCTAATTATAAAACAACATGGAATTTAGTTACAAGTTCCGTCATACATCTTACCTATAAGCCTACGAAAAATACCTAAAACCTAAAGAATAAAAGAAAAGAAATAACACACTCAATTCCCATTGCCAGCCAATAAATTAGACATTTCATTCCGTTTCAACATAAAACCAATTTATGTTTATCTATTCAATAAAATATGGAGGTTGTATCCTCTAGGGAATGAGGTTCTATCATATGAACGTCATACACTACTCCCCTGACATGTTTCGACAGGTATTTATCACTCACGTTTTGATCCCTCGAGTCGTGAGGCAGATCGAGGGTTAATTTCGGCGATCCGTTGAGCTATGCAATTGTGAATAAAGAAACTATTGTGTAAGCGTTTTAGGTGGTATTGTTAGTCATTTTGAATTGTTCCGACGATGTGAAGGTATGATTAACAAAACTACTAACTTAAGAGAAGAGTGAAGAGAGTGTTGTAGAAGAGTAGTAGGTAGGTAGGTAGGTAGGAAGCTTGCAAGTGAGTAAAAAATATTACCTTTTTCCTACTAGATTCTACCGCGTGGTTTAACTCACTCTGCTTAGCTCCTATTGATTGTAGCGTGAAGTTTAACCTATATCCTTCCTTAATAAATGGACTATCCAACACATGCAGAATTATACAATTCGAACCAGCTGTTCCGGAGATAAGGACGTTCAAACAAACAAACCAACAAACTCTTCGGCTTTATAATTCTGCATGCTGCTTCAGCCTTAATAAAAAGTATAAGATAATACTTTTTAATATAAAGTCAATTCCCGGGTCGGGCAAAGTAGTACTGGGTTTAAAAAAAATCTCAGTAGTAGCACGAAGTCCGGATTTGTGCCCGGTATATGGCAATAAGTTTACCCCTTTTACATGGGACTAATAAAATAAATAGTGAAAATTGGGTGTTACTTCTGTGTGCACCTCTGGCTACCCCTTAGGGGATAAAAGGCGTAATGTTATGCTATATCTGGATAATACAGATCTAGAGTATAAGATATAACATTTATTTTGAATCACTCATAGCCATATTATAATCATTATTACGATGTTATTAAAGTTGAAATACTGAGAACATGCTACTTAAACAACACGTGTTCTACACACACACTGAAACAGGTATACAAAAAGTATGTGTGCGTATATAAAAAATCGGCAATCGACACGAGTTTCACCCACCTCCAACATGTCCCTTTAATCGGCAACTTATGAAACGACAGCCTTCGGGACATTTTTACACTTTGAAAGAAAATTGCTTCCTACATTGTAATACTGATACTTAAATCGAGTTGCCATTTCCCAAGTTATCAAAGGCAAAACATTCAAATGGCTGTTTGCCAAGTGGTGTAGCACTCTCAGTGGCATCAACGTTTCCAGCTAATAATTTCTGTGGCATTTTAGACTTTATTTTTAAGTCGTTGTTTAAAGATTTTGAATGAACTGAAATATTTGAAATGTTATGTTCTTTTTGATAAGTCTGATTGATAGACTGATCGCAAGTTTGACTAACTATGAGGAGGTTTTCAGTTTAGCAGATGCAAAATACCCATTACAAAATTAGGTAAATTATTAATTATTAGTTACTTGCGCGCGGTTTCTCCCGCTCTGCTCGGCTCCTATTGGTCGTAGCGAGATGTTTATAGCCTATAGCCTTCCTCGAGAAATGGACTATCCAACACAAAAATAATTATTTAATTCGAATCAGTAGTTTCGGAGATTAGCGCGTTCAAACAAACAAACAAAAAAACAATGTCTTCAGCTTTATAATATCAGTATATATTATGTTTTCGGCTTACTCACGTCATTATTTGACGAAGAACTCGACTACTGCGACTGAGTAGCATGACAGTCGCCGCGTTGCAGGTCGCAAAATGCTGCTCATGAATATGAGCCTCTAGTATGGCTTGAAACTAGTCGAGTGCCTCGTCAAATAATTACGTGAGTAAGCCGAAAACATAATAATGTATTTAGTATGTTTCACGAAAGTTATAATACCTACAAACAAAATTATGTGTAACTAATGCTTAACCCTATGCAATATGATAACGTACTAAATAGTTGTAGCCCACGTTTTCTCTTATATCACACTAATATTATAAATGTTTATATGTTTGTCCGTCAATCACGCTGAAACTACTAAACGGATTTTGATGAAATTTAGTATACAGCCAGGATTTGGGCTGACTTAGGTGATATATATTTTTATCCCGATTAAATACTCCCATGGAATATGCGGGAAAATTCACGGGTAAGAACGGCTAGTAGTCAAATAAAGAAACGGAACCTCTCTTTCTATCCATCCTCCTGTTTTCAGAAGAAAAATCCTCTTTAGATTTATCAGGTAGAATATATTTACCCATTCATTTAAAAGAACATGATTACACATTTTTCTATACCCAACGAAATGTTAAGTTACTGCCTTATTAAACCATCAATCATAAGATCAATTCGCAAGTGATGAGGGCAGGTCGATAGCGCCCGGCCTATCATTTGTCACGGCGCGCGTTTTACCGATCACGTCGGATCGTCCCTGATTCATCGTCGTCCAATCATTCACGGACGCTCATAACACGGTCCCGCTCGGCAGATATTAATCTGCAAATAATATGATTAAGTACTTTTCGGAAATTTATTTCTCATCATCATGGTCCTGAATGTCTTCTATATCTAAGTATAAGTATTTTGAAGGTTAATAGACCAGCCTCCAAAGGTAAATGGCAAAACCAATTAATACATTGACTTTTCTACTCACTCGTTCGACTACCTTGTAAATTCCATGGTGCATGGACCTTGGATAAATGCCAAGGTGGTCCAGAGGTTGAAGACACCTGCTTCTCATGCACGAGGGTGCAGGTTCGAAACCTACCAACGGCAAGTACCAATGTGACTTTTTCCGAGTTAAATGTACTTTCTAAGATTATTTAGACACCACTGACCAACGGTGAAGGAAAACATCGTGAGGAAACCTGGGCTTATAATTTCTAATTATAAGTTTGAAATCGCCAACCCGCATTGAGCAAGCGTGGTGATTATTGCTCTAACCTTCTCCATGTGAGAAGAGGCTTTGCTCAGCAGTGGGCATTTATAAGCTGTTGATGATGATGATGATGATGAGACACCAAACGGTGAGGAAAAACATCGTGAGGAAACCTGGGCTTATAATTTGAGCAATGCTTGAGCAAGTTTAGTGATGAATGCTCAAACTTTCCCCCTTTGAGAATAGGCCTTTGGTACGTAGTGGCCACTTATAGGCTGTTGTTGATGATGATGGGGATAAAATCAAGGTATGTTAATCAATAAACAGATATGAAAGATAATATCAAAAACAAAAAGTTACGGAACAAAACGTCCTTTTCAAAAATATAAAAAAAAACTCAAGCAATGCGTTCACGCGATGAGGTCGTCGACGCGAAATGAAAATCATTACGAAAGTAATCGTTCTCTAAAATTACCCTATTCCAGAAGTTTTCCTTACAAACTGATAATAGCCAATTATGTCGCCCATTATCGTGAATTGAGATTCGTTATTGTATAAAAGAAGTTAAGAGGTCCATTCGACCGAAGCGGAAAGTTACAAATACCTTCGATACATTTAACCTTGTTCCTTCTTTACTTCCTCACTGGTATAGATACTATTGAGCTGATCATGTGTGATTGGAGATCAACAGGTTCCTTCTAGCTTGGTCTACTGATTCGGCAAAGGATTTGAAATGCCCATAACATCATTTTCTAATGGCGAATACTCATATCTGTTCATATAATGTATGTAATTCTTATGTAATGGGGGCGAACCTTTTTATACATCGGATACAATTTGAGAACCAGTTATAGGTAGGTAATGTTCCCGTAAACGTGTTATCCGGTAATCGCTCTTGGGACCAATTCGCAAACCGAGCAGTCTTAATATTATCTCACCTAAAAAAATATTTCACGAATTCCTTCACCCAAAATATACTTAGTGCAGTTAACTTAAAGCTCTTATTACGCCCGGGCTTCCCGCGAGATAAGTTTTCCGGCCAAAATGGCCGCCGAAAGCCAGTAAAACAATTTTCGCCTCAGCCATCCATAGTAGATGCCCATTATAGTTTCACGAAAGTTCCTCCAGAGGAATGTGGGCGAGTATTAAGTTCAGCTGGCAGGAAATTTTGATAACTCCTTTTTATAGCGCTCCCTCCCATGTTATGAGATGGCAAGATAAAGTAAAAAGGTGTCTCGTTAGTGTTATGGTGGCAAATGCGATTGTTGAGCTTAGAGGTGTTAGGCCTTGAACTCAGGTAAAAATCAGGTGAAAAGTGAAAACGTTGAATTTTTTACACTTTCAGCTGCGTTATATCGGTAATTATGACCGATGTACAGTGACTAGTCTTTAGTTCGAGTAGTGATGACAATTTATAACCCTGAGTTACATAATAGCTAATAAATTGAACAAATAATAAACCTAAAACATTCAATTCCTTCACTTCCAGCTTTCATCACAATCTTATTTATTCAGTCGAAATGTGACACAAAAAAAAACATAAACTGCAAACAATTCCCATGGAACAATTTGTTCACAAATCCAGGTGTTTATTTACACAAACCACTTAAATCACATTGTTTGTTTGTTTCAGAAAACTACTCGCAGTTGGATCGAGAGCACGTTTCAGAAAAGAGAGTGCAAATATTTCGTGCCCAGCGCTAAGGATGAGCATGTGTGAGTCATATTTTTACTTATAAGGACAAAAACCTTTTTGTTTATAGCCTGTTACTTATGATCCTACGAAAAATTGGCAGGGTAGCCAGAAAAGTTTATGCCATGAACAATACATGTTAAATATGAATGTGTGAAAATGACATACATGAGTCCTTTGGTGAGCGTGAGAACTTATAGGCACCTTATAAGTGCACTTATGGGGCCCGGCAAAGAATCTTAATGTAACTAACTTTAAGTTCGATCCAGTACATAGTGACTTGATTGTGTTTTTATAATAACTATCGTGAGACATACGAAATTAACTAAAAATCGCGGGTTACTCACGTGAATATACTGAGAAAAGTTCTACTGGTTTCGAACCACAGAAGGATTCTTCCTTTTTTTATGGGGGGAAATCCTCATGGACTGCCTCCGCCTGGGGAAAGGCGGAGGGGTGTGCCGGACTCTTACCGGCTAAAACCACCCCAGTGTCTCCTCACACGTGCGTGCGGGGGCCACGGGAGTCCAAATTCATCCGCAGAGAAGGATTCTTCCTGGGCTAACCTTAACCTAGCGACCGCGCACGCTGCTCATAAGGAAGAACCCCTCTGTGGTTCGAAACTAGTAGAGCTTTTCTCAGAATATTCACGTGAGTACCCCCGCGATTTTTAGTTAATTGACTATATTGAGTATATCTTGCCACATACCGGAGACAATATGTTCAGATGGCAATCGTAAGTTAATCGTAAGTTTTGATAACCCGTGTTTACAATTACATGTACTTTAACGTTTGCCATTTGAACAAAACTTTATAGTGTAGCAATGGACCATTGAAAGAAACATCAGCATTATCCGGCAACGCACCTGTGACTTCTCTGGTGTTGTGGGTATCCATGGGTGGCGCTGATCGCTTACCATCAGGTGAACCGTATGCTCGTTTGCGCCCTATTCCATAAAAAAAAACATGAAATCAAAATTGTATTTTTGTGACGGAAAATCGATACTTTACACTAACTTCTACATTAGGGTATAATGAGCATGACGCTGCCAGTGCCCTTGTTATGTATAAAGCCAATTCCTGCGCATTAGACCCTGAATACAAAGTCGTTTAAAATACATTAACGCTCAAATTAAATTTCCTTTTGTTTGTAGAATATAGAAATGCAGAAAGACCTTGTTCCCAATACTTTAAAAAAGAAATAGACTGAACGCTGAGTTTATTGATTTTTATCTATATTAATCTACGGAGGGATAATCAATGTTGTTGGTAACAAACGGTAATGTCTATTTTTCAGTAGTAGTTGTTCCATCCTTCAAGAAAATATGTATGTACATTTTAAACCTTAACAGAAATCGCGTGCCCCGTTCTAGAAGCCCGGCAATGCATTTGATGTTGTAATAATTATATATTATATATTATTAATTAATAATAAAATTACAAATATTATTTTTGGATATTATTGAACCTTAATTATAATGTTTTCGACTTACTCACGTAACTGTTTGGCGAGGAACTCGACTAGTTTCAAGCCATGCTAGAGGCTCATCTTATTGAACCTTATCCAAGAAATATTGACTGAATTTATAGGCTACCTAACATAATTAAGTTTCTATGCGTGGTGCTATGTTTCCATGAATATTGAGAGACCTGGCTCTTGTGATACAGGGATACCTAGTACAAGAGCCAGGACTTCACTGTGTTAATTCTATGAAGCGCTAATAAACGTTTTTATTATTTATTTTATTATGCAAAATTGCCACAAAAACCGTAGTGACTGAAATAATAACCAGCAAGTAAACATGTTTAGAACAAATATTTACAGAAAGGCAAAAAGGTCTATGTTAATACCCCCGTTGAAAGTTTAATAAACAACCAAGAAACTCGATCAATCTTCAATGAATATTAATTTATGTTTCAGACAAGTTGAGAACAAATATACTTAATTTCCTACATTAATTTTGACCAAAACTTCGTGACGGACTGTAGAACGCGTCGACATGAACAAGTAAACAAGTTCGTTTAATTAAATGGTAAATGAATATAGATTCTGGAATTGTGCCCGGTATATGGCAATAGGTTCACCCGCTATTACATGGGACTCATAACATAAATAGTGAAAAGTGGGTGTTACATTGTATAGTGGCATAATGTGCACCTCTGCCTAGCCTACCCCTTCGGGGATAAAAGGCGTGTTGTTATGTTATGAAGATAGATTGAATTATTACTGAGTTAATTAATAATTGTGTTTAATAACTGCATTATGCGCCTTTGCATCCGTATTACGTGGTAAACTAAATGGTATTGAGTTTGACTTTGTATTCCGTACTCTGAATGCTATTCTATCTATTAACAGTTACGATTGGAGTTATATACAATTGACATTGAATAATTATTAAGATTGAAATTGCATTGACATTGAATATGGTTTCAAGAGTAAGCACTCTAGCCTGTAGTAAGCGATGATATGAAGATGGCGATAACGTAAGTTTCGTAAACCTTTATATAGTTTTAAGTTTTAATAAACAATAGCTGTACCTATACCTAAACATTAAACAGTTAATCATAACATCACGACCTTGATTCCTTAAAGTAGAAGGCAGAGGTACTATTTTTTTTAAGGGGGAAAATCGTCTAATGGCTGTTCCCATCTGGGTGAGGCGGGAGAGAGTGTCAGACTCTTACTGACTAAAATCCACCCCGTTCCTTCTCCTGCACGTCGAGCCGGAGCCCCGGTAACCCGTCAGGTTCTCCGCGACAAGGCAGAGGTATAGGACCGTACTACCTACCCATATTTAATGTAACACCCACGTTTCAAAGCAAAACAAACTGAAAGTAAAAGTAAATAATGCGCGCTCTAAACATTGTTTTACACACGGAATAATAAATAAGTACATATGCTGCAGCGCCACCTGGCGACCCAGATATGAAATACTGATGAAGCGCGAACATGGCTGCCGAATGTGAAATGAAATACATTCTATATAACACGACATGGCGCTTGTGGAAGCCTCGAAGGAGTAAAATATATGTACAACATGTATTATGTATTTTGTATAATAATATACCTACAGATGTTTGAGTCATTCGCATTTTTTTAGTTGTTGTTCTTAACTGTATACGATTGAAGTCGAAATGATTGACGTCAATCAAAATAACGATACGCAACCGTGGAAGACTTGCGTCCAGTTTCTATAACCTATCTATCTGTAGATTTGCTTACTAGAGATGTAATTTTGACATGAGCTCCATACAAAATGTGTCAAAATTCTATCTCTAGTAAGCAAATCTACAGATAGATAGGTTATAGAAACTGGACGTTAACGGGTTGCCGGGGCTACGGCTCGAAGAAGAGGGGTAAGAACGGGTTAGTTTTTAGTCCCGCTCAATGCTGGAAAAGTCATTAGGTGATTTTCACCCTCAAAAAAGGCATGATTATAATAGCTAAAGTTGTTATTATGTAGGTAAGTCTCATAACAGTCATAATAACAATCTAATAACTACTTAAAATAATTGTTACTTTGAAACTGAGCACTTTTGTAAATGGATAACAAATTCTGTACACTTTTTACATACAGTACCTATCTAAATATAACTTAAAACTCGCTATCGTAATTCGTAACTCATTACACAAAATCTGTATAAAAAACTAAAAAGCAAACTGAACAAAATAATAAGTAAAATAATATTTAATTAAAAATTCTAATTAGATAGTGATGTGAGTATTCCATATCAAATTGAAACAAAATATTGTACTCTCACTAATTAGGGAATTGAGCGCTCAAACATGATCCCGTATATGAACAGACTCGCTACTTCCACGCGGTTTCACTCGCTCTGCTCAGCTCTTATTGGTCGTAGCGTGATGTTTTATAGCCTATAGGCATCCTGGATAAATGCGCTATCTAACACAAAAATAATTATTGAAATCAGACTTGTAGTTACGGACATTAGCGCGTTCAAACAAACAAACAAAAAAAACAAACTCTTCCGCTTTATATTAGTATTAGATAAAAGTTCTACAAATCCAGTATAAACTGACAGTCGAATATTTGAAAAGATTATACACATAGAGACTATTATAAACTGGTTGTATATAGTTTGATGTGTACGAATACAATAATCCACCGTAGCTATAATAATTCGGTGGTTCCATTAATAATTAAAACGGTTCCCGAGTTAATGTGTTGTTAATACAACATTAATATGTGGTAGCAAATAGTTAGCTGTTTAGATTTATAGAGGTAAATAAGGACAGGATTATGTGTATGATATTCTGTCAATGTGATATTTGTGTGCAAGAGAATTGTGTAATCATGTCCTCGGAAATAAAATTATTACGGAACATAACATAACATCACACCTTTTATCCCCAAAAGGGAAGGCAGAGGTGCACATTATACCACTGTACAATGTAACACGCACTTTTCACTATTTATGTTATGAGTCCCATGTAATAGGGGGTGAGCCTATTGCCATATATATCGGGCACAATTCCAGACTCCGTGGTACTACTGAGAATATTTAAAACCCAGTAATACTTTGCCCGACCCGGGAATCGAACCCGAGACCCCTTGCCCGGCAGTCGCACTTACGACCACTCGGCCAAAGAGGCAGTGTAATTATTATGGAATGAACTAGGAAACAAGCAGACGGATCACCTGATGGTAAGCAATCGGCATCCGAACATCAGAGGTGTTGCAAGTGTGTTTCTAGCCTTTTTAAAATAAGGATTTGAGGTTTGTGGGATTCGAGGATTGGCGGATTGGGGAAGGGGATAATTGGGCCTCTGGTATCCTCACTCACAAGACGAAATACAACGCAAGTGTTGTTTCACACGTAAGTTTTCTGTGGGGACGTGTTTCACGTGGAGCCGGCCCATTCGTGCCGAAGCATGACTGTGACAATTTCGATGTAGGACTATCTGGAAAATAACTTTACTTTTTTTGACCTAATTGTGACTATCTAGCTAAGTCTGAACTCATTTAGTTTATTTAAAGTCTAGAAGTTGAAATTACAGGAC